AAAAAAAAAAAAAAAATCCTAGGACCTACAGAAAACCAACTCCATCATCACCACCTGTACCAGGAACACAAGAAGGGCCTCAGCTGATATGTACAGCTAACAAATAAAGTATTTTGCAAATGAAGTTCTAGTGGAGAAGAATGGACATAATTGTTTTTACAAAATGTATTCAGAGTTCATTGTCACCCACGCTCAGTCTCATGAATCTATCTTTCACATCTCTTCACTCCCCACCACACACACAGTGATGTAACAGACTCAACAAATGGAATTTCAAATTATATCTTGCACTTTAAGAAAATGAAGAGAAAAAAGACTCAGCTTTTTGTTCAAACACCAAAGCAGAGGCAAATCAAAGGCATTATGACAAAACGATTTGGAACAACATAATAAAAAAAATTTCACAATGCAACTACAGTTAAATAAATAATGATCTGCCTGAACAAAGAGAGACGTTTAGGGTCACAGAAAATTATGTGACATGCTGCCAGAGCTTTGGCCATTTTATCAATGGCAGGAAACTATTCCCCATTGGACACTTAGGCAATTCAGCTGCAGTGCAGGGAGCTTATGAGGCTTCTTGGCAGCACTTCTACCAGAAAGACTGAAGAAACTCACTCTGCGCGAAGTTTGTAATCTTTCTTTTTCTCCAGCAGGCCCAGATGTTTTCGAAAGCCAGGCTAAAAGACAAAAGCAAAAAATAGTGCTTAGTTTCCTCAGCAAACACATGCCCAAATGAACATGACACCTAATGGGAACAAGAGCCTCTAGAGTGTCCAGTAAATCCATGTCCTTGGAGCCAACCCACTACCCTGTTCCCTCCCCTCCCTGCAACTGGGCTCTGCCCAAGGATGAAAGGGACCATGCCAGTACCAGAGAGGTCACAAGCACTGCTATAGTAGGTTTCTTGGCCTATTAAGGACAGAGAGAGGCAACAATGACTCGGCACTAAGCAAGCAGTTGCCAGTTGTACTAAAATTACTACCGACTTAATCCAAGGGTTTATAAAATACTACAAAGGGAAAACATAGTAACAGGGAGGCAACTGTGGTAAGGGAGCTAAATTTAGAGTCTAGAGTCTTAGGTTCAAATCCAAAGCTTTACCGCTTAACAACCTGTGACCTTGGGCAAGTCACTTAACTTCTCTGAGCTACTCTTTCCTAACAGTAAAATGAGAATAAAGAATAAAGTACCTACTTCTCAAGGTTCTTTTTTTTTTAAACAGAGTCTCACTTTGTCACCATGGGTAGAGTACTCTGGTGTTGTAGCACACAGCAACCTCAAACTCTTGGGATCCAGTGATCCTCTCCCCTCCGTTTTTTCATTTTAGAAGAGACAGGGGTCCTACTCTTACTCTGGCTTGTCTCAAACTCCTGAGCTCAGGCAATCCACCCGCCTCAGCCTCGCAGAGTGCTAGAGACATGAGTCACCTCACCCAGCCCTCCTCAGTTTCTTAAAAGGATTCAATAAGCCTCTGTAAGTGGTAGTGCCTGCACACGGCTTGACACACAGCAGGTGCCCAGCGTAAATTTACTGTTATTATTTTACCTTTAGTACAGGTCTGAGAGAAAACAAAGTATGAAAGAAAGTACTTTCTCTGACAAAAACTTGGAAGGTACAAGGATTATACTGTGTTCCCCCCAAAATAAGACCTACCCAAAAAATAAGCCCTAGCAGGATTTCTATGCACTTGTTAAATATAAGCCCTATCCCAATAATAAGACCTAGTGATGCATTTTGGTGCAGAGTGATAAGGAAGACTGGAATACCTTTTATCTGCCACAGCTCCTTTTTCCAAGCTGTTCACACTTGCGCGGGTGCACGTGTGGTAACCACGGTCACAGGCATCCTATTGCACACATGCGAACGGCTAGGGGAAAGGAGTTCACACA